GACCCCGGAGCCCCCAGCCCCGGCCTCCCAGCCCCGCTGTGTGGCTCACCCCACACTTTCCCCCGCGCCCTGCAGCCGCCGGCCCCCGCCCCGCCGCCTGCCCTACCACTACTACGAGCCAAAGGGCCCCGACGAGTGCACGACCTACATCCACAACGAGCGGAGCCGCAAGGGCAACCACCATCGCTTCATCACCGAGAAGCGGGTCTTTGCCAGCTGGGCCGGCCTCTACAATATCACCTTCTCCCACCCCGCCTGGCAAAACGCCTGGCCCTAGGGGCTGCCCCCCGCCCCCAGCCGGGCAGACCCCTGGAGCTGGGACGGATAGGGGTTCTCCTGCATCCCCCTGGGAGCGGGGAGCAGTGGGAGCCAGGCATCGGGGTGCCACCGGGTGCGCCCCACGGGACCACCACCGTTGTGCACGGGTGGCTCCTCGCACCTGGGACGTGTTGGGTTTTGAGCTGTTTTTTGGGGGGGGGCAGGTGGTGAGTGCAGGGTTTGGGGTGTCCCCCCCCCTCCATGGGCGGGAGGCGTGGGGCTGAGATCCTGCCCAATCCTGGTCCAGGCACGTTGCAGCCCCTGCGAGCGCACGGGGGGGGGTGCCAGGTCCCCTTGGCTCAGTTTGAGGTTGCATCACTTTTGGGGCCACCGCAGAGACTGTTTCCCCCAACCCCCTGGGTGGGGGGGACTCCCTCGTGGGGCTCAGCCCGCCTCTGCCATCCCCAGCACCCCGATCCCAGTCCACAGGCATCCTTCCCTCAGCAGAACCCCGCAGTTTTCGGTGGGACCCTGCGGGGGTGACACTGCCACCCTCGGTATCCCAGCACCCCAAAAACACCCGGCCCCTCCCAGCACCGCTGCGCCCCACACCCACACTGCCAAAACCTTTTCTAACCGAGCGATGGGATTTTTGGGCTTTTTGTTTTTTTCCTCCCCGCTTCTGGTCCCGGGGTTTGTATTTGGGTTTCCCGACCGAAGGAGCGAGCCGGGGCGGGGGAGAGCTGCTCGTTAGTGGTAACGAAGGGGCCGGCAGCAGCCTGCGGCTGGGTCCTCATCATTTATTAACCGCTTATAAACTATTTAGAAGTGGGCACATAGCGGGGGGGCCGGCAGTGCCCCTGGACCCTGTGCCGGCGGGGGGGATTTTGTTACTAATTTCTCAGCAGCGGAGAAGTGGGTTTGGGGAAAATAGCTAAATACGGTATGTTTGGGTGCTGAGCCCTGAGAGGGTTCCGTGCCTCAGTTTCCCTCTGGCTGTGGCCAGTCCCCATTGCGGCTGGGGCTTTGGGGGACTCGGTGCCGGGGGAAGCCGCGGGGCACCCGCGTTTTGTAATGGTTTGTACAGGAATAAATATTGCTGCAGTCTATTGCCTTGGGCCCTGGCTCCGGGCTGGGTTTTTGGGGCTGGGCAGCGGGTGCCGGCGGTGCCATCGCAGGGGGTCTCGGGGCCCCTCGGGACCCCCAGCCCCCAGCGCGCTCAGGAGGAAGGGGACCGGTGTGTCCAGTGTCCAG